CTTTTTTTTTTTTTTTTTAATTTTTTTTTCAACATTTATTTATTTTTGGGACAGAGAGAGACAGAGCATGAACGGGGGAGGGGCAGAGAGAGAGGGAGACACAGAATCGGAAACAGGCTCCAGGCTCTGAGCCATCAGCCCAGAGCCCGACACGGGGCTCGAACTCACGGACGGCGAGATCGTGACCTGGCTGAAGTCGGACGCTTAACCGACTGCGCCACCCGGGCGCCCCACTGCTAACCTTTCTTAAGTGTTGTTTGCCCAGCATTGAATTCAGTGCCTTGCACTTATTCATTGATTTAATAACATTCAGTATTAGTTCTGGGAGGGAGTCACAACCACTTCTATTGCTCGGAGAAGGAAACCCAGGCATGGAGGTTATACGGAGAGCAGCTGCTAGGCTGTGAACCAGAGAGTCTGGCTCCAGAACCCATCCCCCTAACAACAGGCTGGCCGGGCTGCCTCTACAGCCACAGCCATCATTTACTGAGTGCTCACTGTGTGCTCTTGTGTGCTCCGTGCTCCCTTAGTCTTCACTGCCATCTTATGAAGGACTGTTTTTATTCCCATTTCGCAGATGGGGAAAGTGGGGCATGGGGAAGATAGATAAGTAGTGGACCGTTCATCCGTCCTCTCTCCTCTGGGAATGGAGGCTGGAAGAATGCCACCTAACCCCATCGCAGCACCTTCACTTTTTGGACTATCTAAGTCTTTCGGGTTCTCAGCGAACCGAAGCAAGACTTGGAGATCTTTACGAGGGGATGCTGAGCTTTAGTGAGAGACAGTCTTTAGTGAGAGACTGGAGAAACAAAGTGGGTGTGACAATATTTCTACCTTGGATTTGTGAGAGCAGGCCATACCAATAACGGGGGGTGGGGGGCTGTTCCAGATACACTGAATCAGAATATATAAAGGGTGGAGCCAGGAAACCTGAATTAAAACAACGAAAACAAACCACAGGTGATTCTAGGGCACAGCCAGGGTTAAGAATTACTCCCTTTATTTCACAGTGATGTTTTACAGCCCCCAGTGAGCAGGCAGCAGTGATTCCAGGAACTGTGGCTAGCTTTCACATCATCTTGCTTAGAAAGAAGCTGCCTGGGGTGCCTGCGTGGCTCAGTCAGTTAAGTGTCCAACTTCGGCTCAGGTCATGATCTCACAGTTTGTGAGTTCGAGTCCCGCATCACGTCAGGCTCTGTGCTGACAGCTCAGAGCCTGGAGTCTGCTTCAGATTCTGTGTCTCCTTCTCTCTCTCTGCCCCTCCCCCACTCCAGCATGCTCACTCGCTCTCTCTCAAAAATAGATAAAAATTAAAAAAAGAAAGATTCTTCCTCTCCCTCTCTCCCTCTGCCTACCTCAAAAAAAAAAAAAAAAAAAAAAAGGAGGAAGCTGCTTGTAGAAGCTGACCAGAGGGAAGGAGCTGGCTAAGGACTGGGGCAGAGAACCAAAGGCCATGGGGCTCAAGACAGACCCGTATGCTTGTTTATACTCACCCCTCATCTTGTCTGTGTAAAAAGTCATTATCTGTTCTTCAAAGACAGGCTCAAACATTTTATTCCTAGTGTAAACTTCCCCTGTCTGGCCACCACTCCTCTAGCCTTGCCCCCCCCAAAGGACCGCCCCTCTGTAAGCCCACAGCACAGGCCTCCCTTAGAGCATGGCCCTCCTCTTCCGTTCTCTGTCAGCACCAGGCAAGACACTGCTCACATTCTCAACTGCATGTGATTCATGCACTGCCCCAGCCAGCAGGGTATCTGGGACAGAGAACCTCTCAGAAAGTGCTAGCTGAGTGAACACAAGGGAAAGGAAGAAGGGGAGATTAAAGACAGGACATAGGGAAGACAAAAAGAGCCAAAGGGAACACCCTGGAGGGAGGATGGCTAGTGAAATCTGATTTAGTGCTGATTCCTCAAGCACATGTGACCTTTGCTCTGACCCATGGGACAGCCACTCCAGGCACTCACCTGGTCACCCCAGAACTGGGTAAGGTACAGAGACAGGAGAAGACGTTTATGATTTCACCAGGAATCATTCCTTATCTCTGTTGATGCTTATAACAATTTTTTGAGATAATAACCTCATTTTACAACTGAGAAAATGAATCATATAACGAACATTAGCTCGGAAAGCTAATAAACATGTCCAAGGTCACGTGGCTAGTGAGCAGAGGACAGATTCATCCAAATTCTTGGCTAGACAAAAGGAGTTCAGATTCTTAAGTTTGGAAGAGCCGTGGCATATCATCTGATCCAATTCTCTGGGCAATGGTGCATCTTTCCCAAAACCTATTCAAAGAGGGGTGATGGAGTTAGGTTGGAATAACTCTAGTGTCGGGGAGCTCCGTGCAACCACAGCAGCTGGGGCAGGCCCACGTGAATGTTCTCGCTTGCACTAAGTTACACTCTTCTCTGTAGCAGCTCAGTCCTCTCCTCCTGAAGGTCAAAGGCATTGCTCCCATTCCACTCTCCCGGTTCTGCTCTACCTCACATGAGACGCCAAGGTCCACAGCTCGGACTAAGGAGGAGACCCCGCTTCCCCTCCAGTGCAGCACAATGACCCGCACTCCCAGTGTTCGCTCAGCTACTCACTAGCTCAGGACAGCGTGGATGAGTCACCACTTGTCTATGGGGGGGATCTATTTCCTGGGTAAGGTATCCCAAAGCAGTGACATCTTCTGCTACTCTTTCTTTGCCCAGGAGAAAGTGAGCATCTCAAAGTATCTCAATCCTGCCTCCTCAGAGGTTCAAAGAGGCTTTACTCACACAATTTCACAATACAGATGTACTCAAGGCCCAACTCACTTTGGACCCCTAAGTGGGGGGGGGGGGGGGGAGAGAAGCTATAAAACAAACTACTTCATTCCTATAAGGTAATGATGATGACCAATATTTTACTGGCCTTTAGGAGTTGAAAAGGCCTTTCATGGTTTGTTTTCAGGTTTTGTGGCCCACCAATAAGTCAGATAGGAGAGGAATGAACTTTCTTGTGAACAAGAATAGCAGGAATCAGTCTCACAGCTGGGGAGTGGTGAGACTGGGATTCACCACCAGGCCTTCTGGGTCCAAGGTCAATGACTCCCCCCCCCGAGGCCCTCTGGAGACCATCCAGGTGCCCACAGCACCAGGCACGTAGTCCTGTGGCTCACAGGCCTGAGTGGCGGCTGCTCTCGCTGGGTTTGATGCAGCACTTCTGAGCCTGGCGCTTTATTGTGAACTATCTTATCTCAATAGGAAAAGGCAATTCAGGGGAAGAATTTCCTTGTCACGGTGCTCTGGGCTCTCCATTGTCCAGCTTTCTTAGCCCTGGTTCATCCCCTGGGTCTGACCATTACTCATATCCCTGGAGGCGCCTTATCAGGGCTGTCTAAGATATAGGACCTATTTTTTATTCAGTACCAGACAAACTGGAATCTGTCCATCTTTTGTGTCCTGACATCATCCCACAATTAGCCCGCTCTGAATCCAGCCACACTGGAAAGCTGCTTGAAAAGCAGCCTGCAGTAATCTGGTTGGTTCCTTTGCAAAGCCCTAAGGTTTCAGGGTCCTCCACTGGCGAGTATGATGAAAAGCCATCTCCTGGTGGAGCCGACTGTGAGCGTCTTTGCTCCTGTACCTTCTCCCCAACTTTTTACTCGGGAAAACTTCAAACCTACAGAAAAGTTGAAAGAATCATATAACGAACATACCTACTGTTCACCGAGATTCACTAGCTGTTCATTTCATCTCATTCACTTTATCTCTTTCTTTCCATATACATACACACCTGAAAAATACATATTCCTCACCTGCCTCAAGCCACTGAAAAGTTGCTGAGTCATAATGCTTCTCTCCTAAGTAGTGTGGCATGTGTATCCTAAGAATAGGGCATTCTCATTTGCAACTACGTGGATGGAACTGGAGGGTATTATGCTAAGTGAAATTAGTCAGAGAAAGACAAATATCATATGACTTCACTCATATGAGGGCAAAACAGATGAACATAATGGAAGGGAAGCAAAAATAATATAAAAACAGGGAGGTGGGACAAAGCATAACAGACTCATAAATATGGAGAACAAACTGAGGGTTACTCGAGGTGTTGTCGGAGGGGGGATGGGCTAAATGGGTAAGGGGCATTAAGGAATCTACTCCTGAAATCATTGTTGCACTATATGCTAACTTGGATATAAATTAAAAAATAAATAATTAAAAAAAAAGAATAGGGTGTTCTCCTATACAACCTAACACTATTATCACTCTCAAAAAAAATGAAACAATGTTAGCTAATATACTGTACGTATTGAAATTTCCTCAATTGCCCCAATAATGCCATATAGTGTCCCATCCCTCCCTTTAGACTCCTTTATACCAGTACAGCTTTCTAGTTCTTTTGTTTGGTTGTTTTTTGTTTTGTTTTGTTTTTGTCCTTCATGACATTTTTTTTTTTTTTAATTTTTTTTCAACGTTTATTTATTTTTGGGACAGAGAGAGACAGAGCATGAACGGGGGAGGGGCAGAGAGAGAGGGAGACACAGAATCGGAAACAGGCTCCAGGCTCCGAGCCATCAGCCCAGAGCCCGACGCGGGGCTCGAACTCACGGACCGCGAGATCGTGACCTGGCTGAAGTCGGACGCTTAACCGACTGCGCCACCCAGGCGCCCCTGTCCTTCATGACATTTAAAAAAACCCAAGGTAATTGTTTTGCAGAATGTCCCACAATTTGGATTTGTCTGATTGTTTCCTCAAAAGTATATATAGGTTCCAATCAAAATACTGGACAAGACTATTTCACAGGTGATGTTGTATCCTGTTCAGGATATTGAACCAGGAGGGAAATGATGCCAAATTGTCTCATTTTGGTGATGTGAATGTGATTACTCGGTCAAGGTAACGTCCTCCAGATTTTACCATTGTAAAGAAACCCATTTCTGCTTGTAATTCATAATTTGTGGGGTGATATTTGAGACCCTGTGAATATTCCCAATAACCTTCCACCTGATGCTTTTAGCATTTATTGAGATCCTTGCCTATCAATTATTATTATGGTGGATCACTTTGTCTTTACCTAATTAAAAAAAAAAACATACTCACTATAGAAAAGGTGTAAAATACCAAAAAGTATAAAGGAAATATAATTTCTACATACACAGACAGAACAAGATAAAAATGCATGCACAACACACAGTACAGTTACACATGATTTTCCCCTTTTCCTAATGTTTATGCAGATTTTGGGGGGGGTAGCATATATTCATTTACAACTTTCTTTAGTTTATTTTGTCTAATTATATAATAGATATATACTAATTGAAAAAGTCTGTAAAGAACAAAAAAGCATTACAAATTATAAAATTCATTAACATATCCCGGGCAAAGTTACACATACATTTTCTTTTCCACATGCCTCTTTTCTTACTTATACTAAGAACTCTGAAAAAGTTCTGTCCTTTTAACTTTCCTGCCCTGCCTTTAAATAGCAACTAGGCTGTCATATTTTCCCAGGGGCTCTCTCCTGCTTACTTTCCTCAGTTTGGGAGTACTTACTATCTGGTCTCCCATTACATTGCCTTTATCTGGTCTTGGGGGACATGCTTGGCAATGAGCTGGATGGGAACAACAGCATCTGCTTGAGCCACAGGGTTTCTCTTGAAACAAGGATGTTTATGCTGCAAACTTTAAAGGACAGGGAATTTAGGGGGAGATATTTTTTAGTTGGGGGTGTATTTAACTGCTTCCACAGTGGAGAAGCCACTACTACAAGAATTCACATCATCCCTTTGCAATGGAAAGACTAAGAATGACTGATAAGGCTCTTCTGATCTTACTAGTGAATGATGTTCTTAAAATAATTGCTAAAAAGGGGGGCACCTGTGTGGCTTAGTCGGTTAGGCACCTGACTCTTGGTTTTTCACTCAGGTCATGATCTCACGGTTTGTAAGTTTGAGCCCTATTGGGCTCCATGCTGATGGTGCAGAGCCTGCATGGGATTCACTCTCTCCCTCTCTCTCTCAAAATAAATAAACCTAAAACATTTTTTTAATTGGTAAAAAAACCAAAATAGCTGCTAACAGTGGCACACTCTCCTGTGTTCTACTACTTTTGTTACTTGAAATTGTCTTTTGTTAAGTTTTTATCTTAACCGTGTTAGAACTGGGAATCCTTGGGGCACCTGGGTGGCTCAGCTGGTTAAGCATCCAACTCTTGGTTTTGTCTCAGGTCATGATCTCACTGTTTGTGAGACTGAGCCCTGTAGGATTCTCTCTCTCTCTCCTTTGTCCCTGCCCCTCTCCTTGCTTGCACATAGGCCGCTCTCTCTCTCTCTCAAAATAAATAAATAAGCATTAAAAAAAAAAAAAAAAGGTAAAACTGGTAGGAAGGACGGGAGGGAGGAATTGAAAATGGAAGGAAGAAAGGTGGAGGGGATGAGCAGGGCACTGTTACTTTTCTTCATAAACTTTTTGTTACAACCTGCTTTTTTTTTTTTTTAATTTTTTTTTTCAACGTTTATTTATTTTTGGGACAGAGAGAGACAGAGCATGAACGGGCGAGGGGCAGAGAGAGAGGGAGACACAGAATCGGAAACAGGCTCCAGGCTCTGAGCCATCAGCCCAGAGCCCGACGCGGGGCTCGAACTCACAGACCGCGAGATCGTGACCTGGCTGAAGTCGGACGCTCAACCGACTGCGCCACCCAGGCGCCCCACAACCTGCTTCTTTTTTAAAAAACTGTGTATCCGCACTACCTTTCTTTCAAAAAATATGTGTGTTTAAAAACAAAGATGAGAGTGACTTACAGTACACCATAAAGGATGTCGAGTGGCCTCAACTACGCTAGGTACGGTAGAATAATCTTAGAACCATCCCTTTAAAACGCAAGCCGGGGGACTCGCACACCAGCCGCCGCTCAGGCCGACTCTCCCGACCGCAGCCAGCCCGCGAGGCGGGAACCTGCGCGCCGCGCGGTGGGTGTAGAGCGCGCATGCGCCAGACCGCCCAGTTCCTCTCCTCCCGGAAGTGCCCGGCGGGTGGTTTGAGTGGTCCGCTGGACGCCGAGGGGTTGGCTGCTTCTCCGGGAAAGAGGTCTGCCGATAGGAACCGGGGTTAAGTTCTGGCAGGGCCAGCAGCGGTCCCGCACCTCCCCTCGTAGTCCTACGTTGCTTGAAGAGGGGCCAGCGCACCTGAACCCCATAGGGACTAAGCCCTGCTGCAGTCACAGCTGCAGACCCTGAGGACCCGGAAAGGAAGAGCCAGGAACCTCTGTCGTCAATGCCGGCAGCTGGTGGAAAATTTCCAACGGAATGGGGGTGGAGGGTATGATGAGTTCTCCAAGCAATGGATTAATTTGAAGTGAATCTGAAGGCACTTCAAGTGAATGCGCTGTTGAAGTGTCCAGCCCCAAAGGAGCAGTCCTGGATGCCTGGTGCTTGTTTAGCTTTCAGAGTTTGGTAAGGAAAAAGCAGATCAGATGTTCTCTAAGTCATTTGATTTAGCACCGTTTCTTGAACTTCTTTCTTGTTTAAGGTCGTCCCTCTCACCTGATGGTGACCTTTGGGGTAATATCGCACAGGATGTGTAAACTTGAAAAAGATCTTTGTCAACATTGCATTATAGCTTGGCTTGTTTCAAGGCAGAGCCGTCTCTGCTAAAGCATCACCCTGAACTTGGGGGGAAGGGAAACAATGAACAGTGTAAAGTCGGAGAGAGTAGAGCAATGCCCTCATGATTGAAAAATGCGGAGGATGATCAAGTAGGCACTGAAAAAGAAGTGGACATAATCTTCGAAATATTTAGAAGTCAGTCTTGAGACACTCCTAAGACATCTCTAGCCTTTTCCTCAGTGATTGATACAGATCCCTTTTCTTGCACTGTGGAAAATATTTTTCATATATCCTTCAATATGAGAGATGGTTTAGCAAGAGTGAGCCTTGAGCCTGCCAATAATAGAGGCTCTTAGTATTAATAAACTAAATGAAGTCACCAGAATCCCCAAGTTTGGAAACAAGGTGTTAATAGTTTTTGGTTTTCAGTACTGGAAGGAACCTGCAAATAATTTTTTTTTTTTTTTTTAATTTTTAGAGAGTGCATGAGCGGGGGATAGCAGAGAGGGACACACACACACACACACACACACACACACACATACACACAAAATATTAAGCAGTCACCATGCTCAGTGTTGAGCTTGATGCGGGGCTCGATCCCATGACCCTGGGATCATGACTTTAGCCGAAATCAGGGGTCAAGTGCTCAACTGACTGAGCCATCCAGGTACCGTGGAATCTGCAAAATTTTTAAATGTCAAATGCTGTGATGTCTTCGTGTTATAGCATAGACAGATTTTATCTTAATTGGATAGCAAAACTCAAACAAAAGTATATATTATATAATGAAATCTATTTTCACAGTAAATCTGAAATTTGTCTTTATGTTTTAATATCTTTTTGAGAGTTTATAAAAATGCCAATCTTCTGTGGGAAACAAACTCACTGGCATATTCATAAAAGGGAATACAGGAAAGAAATCTGGCCTAACTTCCGTTTTACAAATGAGGAAACTGTGACCCAGAAAGGGAAATGACCAGGATCACACTTAATCAGATTTGGGAGCTAGAGCCCAGCCATGCTCCTTGGCTGAGTGCCTCTCCTTACTCTGTAGGAGGAGTTCATACCCCATTGTGACAAACATGATGTGAGTGTGGCATCAGATGTTGTTCAAAGATCTCTTCCTCATGCTAAAGTACTGGCAGGAGATAAGGAGACAGTCGTTCTTCAGGGTCTAGACAGGACTTTATTTAAGAAGGTCTTAGTGATCAGAACTCTCCCTAAAGGATACAGACTTCTTTGGAATATAAAATGGTGAAATATTTTTTGGACGGGGAGGAGCTTAAGTAAGGGCTAGCTAGTCAATTCTTAGGATTGTCAAAGGGATTCAAACTGCTGAAGTCCCTTCTGTCTGTGGAGCTGCTATTTTGGGTTACTCACTGCCTTTCAGCACATAAGTGGCCAGGAAGTATAGGGAGGAAGGGAACCAATCCCTCTTCAAGGTCTTCCTTTGAGTCAGGTATTGTGTTATGCATTTCATATATGTTGATTTACTTAGCGTTCACAACAAGCTTTGTAGATAGGTATTATTCTCAGTCTACCTCAGGTCACGAAGGTTAGGTGACCTGCTCCAAGCCACGCAGATAACAGGCAGCACCACTGAGACCATACTACACCATCTCTCATATCCGGATGAGTGGGCAGTGTGTCCCCTGTGTAGGTTTCCCCTTGGTGAGTCTTCAGGGCAAGGAATTCCCATATCCTTCCGGTGTGACTAACAGTGCGGATGAAGCTACAGTGGAGGCCTGGGGCAGGGACACTCCTACTAGGAGAAAGGCATTTTGGCTGGCACCTCTTCACAGAGGCTCCAGGGTTCCAGAGCTTTGCATAACAGGCACGTTCTCATTGAACAATGAGACCAAACTTTGCTTCCAACATTTTCAGTTTAATAGTTCACTCTGGGTGAAGAGACCTGGGATTCAGCTTTGAGGCAGGATTGGACCACAGCCATAGGAACTGGTTTGTGAAGGAAGCCTGGGACGATGGGATCTAGGGAGACAGACGGCATCTGGGACTCAAGTAGTTTGTGCTGCTCAATCAGCAAGACTGTTTTGACGTTCTTGGATAAATGGCCACTTCCATCAGGATCCAGCCAGTTTCTGATGCTCCAGGGAGCACGGGCCAGTCTCCCCTTGAGAGAGGGAGGCTGTGCTACAGGCAGACTCCAGAGAGGATATCCTGCCCCTGTGCCTTATCTTTCTAAAGCTGAGCCCTCCTCCTGCCCTGCTGTTATCACTCAGATTAAATGTTCTCCATGTTCCTACTGTATCCTTGACTACATTTCTGCTTCCTGAAAAGTTGTGGCCATAGGGAGAAAAGCCTCACCAACCAGGTGTGACCTACCTGAGGCATGTCCATCACCTTCCTACTCTGGTATCAGTCATGGCTACCAATTAGCCACAGTTTTAAGTGCCAGCTCCCTAGGCTCCACGGCCTGGTTCCTTGCCAGCCTCTTCACCTTTTAGCCACTGTTGCACCACCCATTCTGGCCACATCAGACTCATCCTTCCTTGACGAGATTCCATCCTTCCTGGTGTCCAGTCCTCTGTAGGATTTCATCTGGAATGCTCTCCCCACCCCATCCCCCACTCAAATCTTCATCTTCTCTCAAAGAACAGCTTCTGTGGTTAAGATCACAAAGCCACAAAACTGGCTTTAGCAAACTCCATTACAAGACACCCAGGGATCAAAGCAGTTGGATAAAGGGGATAGAGTTCACTTCCAGCTTAGAAGGCACTCAGAGGATTAGTATCTCCACAGAGATCTATGGAACCAATCTGCTTCCCTGAGGCACTCTCTTCGTTGTGCTGGGATCTGCACTACTCCTTCGGAGAAACTGGGCAGCTGTGTGACTGAGTCACACAGGCTGCCAGGGGCCATCCTGGAGCAGAGCTGTGTTTCTCGGCATGTCTCCCAGTTCCCCTTGTGGCTGGCTTTTGTGGCTGTGCTGGGATTCAGACATCTCTGTACTACACAGTGAGATGCCTCAACTCAATCAAGATTTATTCACTCCAGTGTTCCTCCCACCTTGGCCCCATTCCCTCCCTCTTTTCCCCCTCCCATGATCACAGTATCAAAATAATCCTAAAACGGGATTGCTGTGCTTGAATTTGACACCTCCCACCATGCCTCCCACCCTCCACATGCTTTCGTGTTAGCTCCTGAAGAAGACAGTCCCCCTCACCTGCAAACCCTGCCCAGCACACACCTTGCCAAGTTGGAGCAAGTGCTGGTATCTAAGGCAATTTGTTTTGCTTGCCCTTACATCACCACCGATCTTATAAACTCCTGGTTGACTAAGCAGTCCTACCTCTAGCTTCCAGAAGAAAACCCAAGTGGGTGACTGGAAGGGCAGGAGCCAGGTCCCATTAATACCAGGGATCACGTCTTAGATCTCCGGCACATGTTCCCACCCCTCTCGTCTCCTGGGCTTAGCCAGGTCTTGCAGAATGAGGCTGTACTGAGATCCAAACACATTAGCTATTTGTTAGATGTTCCTGTCCCCTAGCAGATATTGAGAGTATGGCTGAATCTGAAGGGAAAGGGAAAAGCAGGTCCAATGCCCTTTAGATGAAGGTTTCTACTTCGAAGCAAGAGTGGTCTATGAACTTCTGATCTTCAAAACAAACCACATGCCCGGGTCTGTCCACAGGACCCAAGGTCTTAGCTCCATTCTGAGCTGTGACGCAGACCAACCAAGCTCAGTGACAGCTCCTGGTTCTTCGCTTTCACGGGCGGCCTCTGCGGAAGCTTAAATTCCCGCCATGGGTGTCACTGCAGGTTGCTCCCTGCTCAGTTCCTGACACAGGCTTGACTAAGGGCTCTGAGCTGATGGGCTTGCTCCAGGTGTTACTCATCAGATGTCAAGACCACTGGCCCCATGGAGCACCTGTGCACCTGGGATCTGAGCATCTCCACGTTGTCTTTGTTCCCTTCAAGATTTACATCTTCAGGGTCCCACTGTGGAGAAAAGACACAAATGGTACCTTGGTGGAACCAAGACTCTTCCCATCTCTTACAATGCCCCACCCCAAACAATAGCTCCAGTCCTGGTTCTCATGACCCAGGCACAGACAAGGAGAAATAAGGACAGGTTAATCAGGCCTAATGGGACAAGTATAAGTTTAAATCAAGGAATTAATGGACAGCCACCCTGAACAGACCAGCCCCACTTCCCTTCCTACCCCCCCTTTTCCATCTTTACTCTAGTGAGACTGAGTTATGTTCCTTTTATCCTGAGACTTCCCACCTCCATGCCTAACTCATTCCTGGAATAGACCAGGCAAATTCAACCCTTTCTTTATGGCCCAGGTAAGTACCTCCTCTTCCAGGAAGCTTACCCTGACTGCTTTCACCCATTGAGCTCACCCCCTTCTGTCTTTGTACTGCCCATACCCTTCATTTGCAGCTGAACATGCACAGCCCTGCCCTTTCTCTGGGCACCACCTTGTCCTTCCAGGGAAATGATGAGCTTCTTAAGAGCAGGGCACCAGTTTGCCCTTGCTACCTGCCCCTCCTCCCACCATGCATTTCCTGTTAACTTGAGGCTCAGCAGACTTGTCCAAAACACTTAAAGCTTGATTCAGAATGGTGGTCACTGGCAGAGAATATTTCATTACTCTGATTCAGACAAGTATGGGAAAGGTTAGGAATAAAAGGTTAAAAACAGAGAAGCAGTCATAGCATTGAGGACACTGTTTGCAAAGTCCTCCTATTGTTCTCATGTGACAAATGACAGAGAGAACTTTTCACATGGCTAAGAGCAGGGAATCCTTGGTGAGTCTAGCCATGGGCGCAAGTGGGGGTTGGACTCAAATCCTCTTTCTGCCACTAACTTGCTTTCTCTTTCTTGGGCCTCAGTTTCTCCAGGGGTAACCTGGAGTGTTGGATCAGTAACTACATATGATCTCTTTAGTTTCTGAGTTTCTATGACTAATGATTCTGAATGACAAGGTTACATTTGACATTATTAAAAGACCCAGGAAATAATATAGGAAAGGATGTGTTAGCCTAGACCTGACTATCTGTTTGGACAAGAAAACATAGCCAGTCGTGGGCATGCACTCCACGAAAAACACTCCACCAGCAGCTCAAACTTAAGCTGAATAAAACAGCCCAGTCCTTAGGGGTCCTGGATAAGGTCTGCAAGGCTCCCTGAGCCACTCAGTGGGCATCACTGAGAGAAATGCCCCCACCATGCCAGTTGTAAAATACAAAATGTGGCTTTGTTTTTAATAGAAAGGAAGTGCCCAATTCAATTAGTGATTTACTGATAACTGAGTTCTACTACTTGCTGATTAAAAATAGTATCATGTTGGGGCACCTGGGTGGCTCAGTTAAGCGTCTAACTTTGGCTCAGGTCATGATCTCATGGTTTGTGAGTTCAAACCTGGCGTTGGGCTCTGTGCTGACAGCTCAGAGCCTGGAGCCTGTGTCTCCCTCTCTCTCTGCCCCTCCCCCACTCACTCTGACTCTTTCCCTCTCTCAAAAATAAATAAACATTAAAAAAAATAATAATAATTTGAAAAATAGCATCATGTTAAAACAGCCACCTCATCCCCAGTGACCCTGCAGGCCAGGGACTAAGCTGATTGGGTTGGTGCTGCTCGACCCCCAGTACCTGTTTGGGGCTCTGCCAGCCCCTCCAGTGCTAACTTCTTATTTGTGGTTGCAGACTTGGGGGGACAGCAAGAAAATCCCAAGTTAAAGAGCCCCCCTAGCCCTTCAGCCTCCGTGGTACAGGTGCCCAGCAGTGGAAATAGGGGCCTGTTCCATTCTTTGAGGATGGATAGTATGCTTTTCAATATATGCTGTTTCCAAGCTGAGGCCCATGTTCTAGATCACAGTTCTCTGAGTGTGCTATGGATCAACCTCACCAGAAGCAGCCAGAATGCTCATTAGGAAGGGTGATGCCAGGCATCCTAGACCCTGTCTGGTTTGGGAACTAAGGTTTAACATTTTACCAAGCTCCTTGCATGATTTTTAGCTGCCCTGATATTTCAGAACCCTGGCCTCTCCTGAAATGGCGTCTTAAGAGTTGTTCTTGCTACTTACTCCTGACCAATTCAGCTGCGGGAAAACAGAGCCACTTTGATCAAGTGCACTCTTTGAAGTGGGTTAAGCCTTTGAAAGCATTTTAAATCTCTTTCTTCTGAATCCCCAGAATAATGTGTTTCAAAATCTCACTTTAAGCAATAAAAAAACATTGCTGGAATCCAGGCATAAAGAAAATTTGAGCAAAAGATGATCTTACCAGAAATAATCCTGGGAGACGACATGCACAGGTGTTTGTCATAAAACATGTGCTTATCTGTCCCTCGCAGGCAAGGGTGGCAGGGAGACAGCTGCCAGCTGCCCAAGGTGACAGTGTTGGGGAATGGTTATCTCCACCCCTGCAGCCACCCCCAGCACCGCCACCAGTGGTAACCTGCAGCTACTCCACTTGTCCATGGACCTTTGTTCCAAACCATGCTTCTCCTTGGGTTACACATCGTCGGAGTCCCTACCAGATGGTTTGGGCACAGCAGAAAGAACTCTGAACTGACAGAGCCTGGAAAATCCCCTCATCCTCTGACTCGCCTCCGTTTTCATTCTTTCTTTAACTAAAGGAATGTGGCATGGGCCCGGCCATCCAAGGGGGGGAGATCACAAAAACAGGAAATGGAATCAAGCCACAGGATGTCCCTTCTGGAATAGAGTATGATTGTCCATACCTGCTCCAAGTTTAAGGCTTCCCAATACTTCTGCTGCAGAATAAAAAAAAGAGATGGAAAAAAAAGTGTTGGAAGGATTTTGCCAGCATCACAGAGCAGAGCAGAGCAGAGCAGAGCTCAGCACCAGCACTGTCTGCTTGGTGAGTGAGGAGGCAGGCCCTTCAGTGATCTGGAGGCAGAGGAAAAGCTGACTTCAGCAAGCAGAAAGGCAGCAACTATGGTGGCTACAATTTAGCTAAATGATCAACAGGATAATTGTGATAATTATGAAGGGCTGCAGGTCCTTGGAAAAATTATACAGATTTAAAAATTACTATTATTAGGAAGTATTATCAGGCATAATAATAAATCTTCCATTTATTAACCACATGGCTGAGATGAGTCAACTCAAACCCATAAAACTAAAAGAGATGCAAATAAAATCCCCACCTCAAAAATACAGGACATTTGCTACCAGCCAAGATTCACTTTTAATCAGCCTTTACTGCATGGGTGGTTCCACCCCAAGGCTCAAACATGCCTGACTCGGGTTCTTGAAGGGTGGTGTGACGGTCCGCTCTGGTTCGTCTGGCACCTCACGCAGTGCCTGGGAGACGTGTGTTTCTGACATAGAGCGCTTATGAACCTACAGACGTCTGTCGTACCGATCTGTCAATGTCTGTCAAATTGAATAGCTGCCAACCTGCACAGTCCACAGGACTTGCCATTGTTGTCTCACATTAAGACAAATCCTCCGGCACAAAAACAGACACTCAGATCAATGGATCAGAGGATAGGACCCAGAAATGGACCCACAAACATGGCGAACTAATGTTTGACAAAGCAGGAAAGAATATCCAATGGAATAAAGACAGTCTCTTCAGCAAGTGGTGCTGGGAAAACTAGACAGCGACATGCGAAAGAATGAACCTGGACCACTTGCTTACACAGACACAAAAATAAACTCAAAATGGATGAAAGACCTCAATGTAAGACAGGAAGCCATCAAAATCCTCGAGGAGAAAGCAGGCTAAAACCTCTTTGATCTTGGCGGCAGCAACTTCTTACTCAACACGTCTCCAGAGGCAAGGGAAACAAAAGCAAAAATGAACTACTGGGACCTCATCAAAATAAAAAGCTTCTGCACAGCGAATGAAACAGCAAAACTAAAAGGCAACTGACAGAATGGGAGAAGATATTTGCAAATGACATATCAGATAAAGGGTTAGTATCCAAAATCTATAAAGAACTTACCAAACTCAACACACAAAACACAAAAAATCCAGTGAATAAATGGGCAAAAGACATGAATAGACACTTCTCCAAAGAAGACATCCAGACGGCAAACCGACACATGAAAAAATGCTCCACATCACTCATCATCCAGGAAGCACAAATCAAAACCACAATGAGATACCACCTCATACCTGTCAGAATGGCTAACATTAATAACTCAGGCAACAACAGATGTTGGTAAGGATGCGGGGAGAGAGGATCTCTTTTGCACTGCTGGTGGGAATGCAAACCGATGCAGCCACTCTGGAAAACAGTATAGAGGTTCCTCAAAAAAATTAAAAATAGAACTACCCTATGACCCAGCAATTGCACTACTAGGTATTTATCCAAGAGACACAGTTGTGCTATTTTGAAGGGACACATGCACCCCCATGTTTATAGCAGCACTATCAACAATAGCCAAAGTATGGAAAGAGCCCAATGTCCATCGATGGATGAATGGATAAAGAAGATGTGGTATTTATATACAATGGAGTATTACCCGGGAATCAAAAAGAATGAAATCTTGCCATTTGCTACTATGCGGATGGAACTAGAGGGTATTATGCGAAGCGAAATTAGTTAGAGAAAGACAAATATCATATGACTTCACTCATATGAGGACTTTAAGACACAGAACAGATGAACACAAGGGAAGGGAAGCAAAAATAATATAAAAACTGGGAGGGGGACAAAACATAAGAGACTCTTAGATATGGAGAACAGAGGATTACCAGAGGGGTTGTGGGAGGGAGGATGGCAAAATGGATAAGGGGCATTAAGGAATCTACTCCTGAAATCATTGTTGCACTATATGCTAACTAATTTGGATGTAAATTTTAAAAATTAAAAAAAAAGCCTCTACTGTTCAATTATTTTAAATTTCCATTTAAAAGATTTGTTTTAAATGTAAAATATTTTTAATAATTATTTTTTAATTAAAAATCCAACACTTTAAAAAAAATTTTTTTTAATGTTTATTCATTTTTGAGAGGGAGACAGTATGAATGGGGGAAGGGCAGAGAGCAAGAGAGAGAGCGACAGAATCTGAAGCAGAGTCCAGGCTCTGAGCTGTCAGCACAGACATGGGGCTCAAACTCACGAACCATGGGATCATGACCTGAGCCGAAGTCGGACACTTAACCGACTGAGCCACCCAGGTACCCCAAATCCAACGCTAAAAAAAAGTAATCTGTATGTCCAATGTGGGGCTCAAACTCACAACCCCGAGATCAAGAGTTTGCATGCTTTACCTACTGAGCCAGCCAGGTGCCCCTTAAATTCCCATTTTAAACAAGTTTTTAGGGGCACCTGGGTGGCTCAGTTGGTTGAGCATCGGACTCTTGATTTCAGCTTGGGTCATCATTTCATGGTTTGAGGGATTGAGCCCCTCATATAGCTCTGCACTGACAGCATGGAGCCTGCTTGGGATTCTCTCTCCTTCTCTCTCTCTGCCCCCCTTCTGCTCATTCTCTCTCTCTCTCTCTCTCTCTCTCTCTCTCTCTCTCTCTCTCAGAATAAATAAACATTAAAAGGGCACCTGGGTGGCTCAGTCAGTTGAGCAACCTACTTGGGCTCAGGTCATGATCTCACGGTTTGAGGGTTCGAGCCCTCTGTTGGGCCTTGTGCTAACAGCTCAGAACCTGGAGCCTGTTTCGGACTCTGTGTCTCCCTCTCTCTCTGCCCTTCCCTGCTCATTCTCTGTCTCTCTCTCTCTCTCTCTAAAAGATAAACATTAAAAAAGTATACATACAAATTTTTAATTGTACATTTTTCAGTCATACATCAACAAAAGAATATCCAATGAACACCCATGGACATATCTTATTTGCTCTAGCTCCCCAATTTTTTTATTTAAATATTTTTAAATAAATAATTTAATCTGTAAATATTTTAGTATGTCTCTCATAGATAAGGACATTTTTAAAAAGTGTTTATTTATTTATTTATTTATTTATTTATTTATTTTGAGGGAGAGAGAGAGTGCAAATAGGATAGGGGCAGAGAGAGAGGGAGAGAGAGAGAATCCCAAGCAGGCTCCGCACAGCAGAGCCGGATGCAGGGCTCAAACTCATAAACTGTGAGATCATGACCTGAGCTGAAATCAAGAGTTGGCAACTCAACTGACTGAGCCACCTACGTGCCCCATGGACATTTTTAAAAAAATCCTAACAACAGTGCCATTATTAGACTTAACAAAATTAGTGATAATTCCATAGTATTCATCTTTTAATGACACCCTGCTGGGGGAGGGAGACATAAACTGAAAAAAAAAAAAAAAACTACAGGACTAATTGGAAAAGATATGAAATCACAAAAAAAATGACAGTTCTACACACACTGCAAACGACAGAAATGTTGGTGAGAATGTAGTGGTTGAAAAGTGAAGTAACTTTTACAAATGTAACCGAACTAAAGAGACAAAAGAAAAGATGCTAACTTTCACCTTTCTTTAGAAAATACAGATGTTCATGCAAAAACAGCGACAGTAATCTGATGTTACCACAGTGAGTAGCTGTTTTGTTTGTTAAAAAATTATTAAATGCAGTGTGCTATACTGAAAGAGAATAAGAATATTAATGGAAAAACTGGTGACATCCAAATAAAGTCTCTAGTTTAGATGATAGTAATGTACTAGTGTTAATTACTCAGTTTTGATATTTAACATTATGAGAAAACAGGTGAAGGCACACAGGAACTTTCTGTACTACCTTTGCAACTTTTCTGTAAATATAAAATTATTTCAAAATAAAAAAACTTTATTTAAAGTCAAGCAAATAAATAAGCAAACAACTAAACAGGCTTACGTGTCCCTCAAATGGATTGATAAGAAACCTTGAAACTTCCTTTCCAAATCTTCAGCATCATAATCTAAAATTTAAGAACCCTGCCCTCTAGTGGAAGTAGGAGAAGTTCCTTTTTTAAGCCAACGATGGTAATGTGCCTAAGGAGTGCAATTAACCCAAATCTTGGTAACTGAGATCTCTCTCCATGCCCGTAAAAGTAAAAATAAAATAACATTTTTCTAATCCTTTCTTAATTTCAAGAGCAAAATGTGTTAATTTTTGTACAGATTTTTCTTCAAAAACAAAATGATTCTAGCCCATGAATTTTACCCCAAGAAAAAACCTCCATGAACAGTTATTGATTAGCCCTCTGAAATACAAACACATACACACACAAACCAAAATGTGCCAATGGCTTTTCTCCCTTGAGTATTACCACAGATCTTTAAATTGTCTTTAGGACCATGATTCTATCACCTCCATGAACCACACAGCACGTAATATTTCAACTCAGCTCATTTCTAAAGGCACACTTTCTGCTTCTGAAACCAAGAAGCAACCTGTAGCCCTTGTTTACCAAGCACGCAGTATATTTTCCTTTGCTCCTGAAGGCTTTTAGGAAACCATTGAGGAAACAGGGTCACTTTCCAGGATTACATTTTAGACCGTGTCATCTCACATTTAGGGAGAAGCGACTTTTCCCAAGACTGGGGAAGTGACATGGTGTTGGACTCAGGACAGATCATAAAATTTTTTGCTTCCTCTGACTATACAATGTTAAGACTGGCCAGGCACACACCAGCTATGATTCTCTCCCAGAATTCACTAAGTGGATTTCCTTTTGACCTGGAGCCTTTACAGACTTTAAAACAATTACTGTATGCTTCAAAATTGCACCCTTCCTATTTCTCTAGTTCATTAAGCAGTTCCATAGCACTTACCCCAGATCGAGCAGAGATTCACCTCCCCACGTGTTCTTTCCTCCTCTCTACC